AAAAGAGGATTACCAGTTATCCCAATGGCAAAACCCTCACGGTCATGTTATTTTGCCATGACCCTTGAGAGGCTCCTTGACTCCTTTGTATTCATCTCCTTTTCTGTCCACACAGCACTATCACACTCCCTTAATCACGTAGGCTTTCTAATCAGTTTTCATACCAAGGAAGCAGCCCCATCCTCCTGTTCTTCAGGAGTATATTAGATGGTATTGGCCCTTTGCTCTAATATAAATCATTGTACCCACTTGCCAAGTTTTCACACACACACACACACACACACACACACACACACACACACACATGCACACACACACACAGCCTATTGGGATTTTTTTTTTCCAAGAAAAGAAGATTTATTCATAAGTCTTTGGGTGATGGAACATCTATCCACACCTTTCACGCATTTAGCCCATGTAGTCATGGCGTGCATACTTAATTTCAGGTGAAACCTCACCCTAATTAACAAAGCAAATGTCCAAAACAGTTGCATAGCCCCAATCTAGAATTAAGTAATTAAGTTATCAGGCCAAAGTATCCTCCTCACAAAGCCCTGTATAGCTATGTAGGATAGTTAATAATCATCTACCAAAGCTTCTCTTTTTTAAAACTGTGGTAAACCCTTTTTTAACTCTATTTTTCTCTCTTTTAGCAAAATTTTAAGTGTGCAATACAGTAGTGCTAACTATTGGGGTAGTGTTGTCTCTCAGATTTCTAGAACTTAGGCATCTTGCATAACTAAAACTTTATACCCCCTGAACAGCAACTCCCCATTGCCCCTCCCCCATGGCAGCTGGCTGCCACAATTCTACTCCTTGCCCCTAGGAATTTGACTATTTTAGATACCTCATATAAGTGGAATCATGCAATATTTGTCTTTCTGTGACTTAACCTAATTCCGCAGGGTTCGTCCATGTTGTCACATATGACGGGATTTTCTTCTTTGTTAAGACTGAATAATGTGCCATTGTATGTATAGACTACATTTTTTTTATTCATTCATCCATCAACAGACATTTAGGTTGCTAGAATTTTTTTATTGGAATTGTATCAATTCTAAATATCAGTTTGGGGAAAACTAATATCTTTATGGTATTGTCTTCTAATTCAGGGATGATATATAAAATCACATCCATTTATTCCTTAACATATTTTAATACAGGTTTACATTTTTTTTTAATTTTTTTTCAACTTTTTTTAATTTATTTTTGGGACAGAGAGAGACAGAGCATGAACGGGGGAGGGGCAGAGAGAGAGGGAGACACAGAATCGGGGAAACAGGCTCCAGGCTCTGAGCCATCAGCCCAGAGCCTGACGCAGGGCTCGAACTCACAGACCGCGAGATCGCGACCTGGCTGAAGTCAGACGCTTAACCGACTGTGCCACCCAGGCGCCCCAGGTTTACATTTTTTATACCAGGCATGAATGGTTCTTGTTAGATTTAGTCTAAATCCTTTATACTTTTTCTTGCTAAAGTAAATGGAAAAAATGATTTTTATGACAGTGCTGTTAGGTATACTTCAAATTGGCTTTTACATTTTAATTTAGTACCTAGCAAACCTGTAAACTCTTATTGGTTCTAATATTTTTCTGAACATTCAAAATATACAATCATTACCTGAAAATGACCATTTCCCCCTGTGTTTGTTGGAGTTGTATAGCTATCTTCTAACATTAACCAATATCCTGCTCCTGAATAATACAAGAGACTTAGAATTCTTTATCTCCAAATATCCCTGTTTCAATTTATAAATGTTTGTGGGTTATAATTTTAGTTCTTTCAAATTAGACATGATGAATATTTTTAAACAGATTTATCTGCTTCTTTGCTAACTGTTCTTTCTTACATCTCAGACTTTCTTCTGCTTTCATCTTCTTTCTGCCTAAACTACATTCTGTAGTGAGAGTCTGTCATAGTAAACTTCTTCAGATTTTGGTTGTCTAAAAATGTCTTTGTTTAATTCTTGTTTTCCAAAGATATTTTTGCTGGTCTAAGTTCACAGTTATTTTCTCTCATCACATTTAAGATTATTATCTACTGTCTTCTGGTTTCTAATTGTTGCCTTAAGAAGTCAGCTGTTGATCTAAATATAACGTATTTGTATCTTTTTGGGGGGAACTCTAGTTGGACAAGTATTGAGCCAGACACTCTCTCCTACATTTATCTTTCATATTTTATCTCCTTGCCCCTTTGTCTTCAATCTAGGGAACTGTAGTTTTTATTTCCAGAAGTTCCCTTTGGTTCTTTGTCAACAATTCCCGGTCTTGTAAAAACAATAATATCTTTTTGGGGTTCCCCAGGTGGCTCAGTCAGTTGAGCATCCGACTTCAGCTAAGGTCATGATCTCACGGTTTGTGCGTTCAAGCCCCACATCGGGCTCTGTGTTGACAGCTCAGAGCCTAGAGCCTGCTTCAGATTCTGTGTCTCCTTCTTTGCCCCTCCCCCACTTGTGCTCTGTCTCTGTCTCTCTTTTTTAAAAATCGAAGTATAGTTAACACACGGTGTTACCTCAGTTTCAAGTACAACATAGTGATTTGACAAGCCTATAGGTTATATCCTTCACTCACCGCAAGTGTAACTGCCCTCTGTCACCATACACTGCTATTACAATATTATTGACTATATCCCCTATGTGGTACCTTTCATCCCTGTGATTTATCCATTCCATAGTTGGAAACCTGTAAGAAAGTAGTCTCGTCTTCCTTGCTCATGTTTCAAAGCTTTTAAAAATGTATTTAAACATATGTGAAAGACACAATCTGTGTCCAATAATTCCAGCATCTTAAATCTTTGATGATTTATTTATATTTCTGTGGATTTGCTACCTTTCACTCATGGTACTTTATTTCTCTGTGATTTTTGTACTCATTAACTATGAGCTGCTCATTATCCTTGAAACTTTTTCTTGGAGGATTCTTTGCAGACCAGATTGAATTCATGCCCTTGAGAGGGGATTTGTTTTCCTTCTGCAAATTGCCCAGGTACATCATCAAGCAAAGAGTAGCCTAAATTTAATTATTGAAGGTTTTTACAAATATATAGCTGTGAAAGTATGGCTACCATAAATTGTGCTTAAGTTAATGAATTCACAGCAGAAACTTTTTCTCTCTCCCAACCAACACCAAGGTCAAGAAAAACAGGTTTCTGTGCATCAGTTCTTCACTTGTTTTTGTCTTTTAAATATTGATCATTCACCTGAGGCATAGGTAGCCTTTGAGTTTACAGCTTTATTCCAGGTTTTCCACTAGACTCTTCACCTTTTGGGTTCGGGCCTCTTCCCTTGCTTTTCTACCCTGTGGGACTATCAGAGATGAATCTCAAGGAAGAAGGTTGGAGACTTTTCGAATAAAAATGGGATTTTAGTGCTTGCTTAACTCCATGGATTACTGTTTTCAGTTATTTTTTTTTTTGTCCTCTGAGGATTGCTTTCTGCTATACCAACTCAACAATTCATTTCAATACACACACACACACACACACACACACACACACACACACACACACTTCATCAAGCATTTTAGTTGTTTTTATTATGAGGTCTTCCAAACTGCTGTCAAGAAACTTTTTTAAAAACCTTTTATGATATTAAATTCATCTTTCATGCCACCTTCATCGCATAATCTTCAAACTTGTGTGTAAAGGTACCTAATATAGCTTTTATAATAAAAACTTATTTTTAAATAAGTGGGGTTTTTTAAAAATTTTTTTAATGTTTATTTATTTTTGAGAGAGAAAGAGACAGAATGCTCTGGGTTAGGGGCAGAGAGAGAGGAAGACACAGAATATGAAGCAGACTCCAGGCTCCAAGCTGTTAGCACAGAGCTCAATGCGGGGCTCGAACTCATGAGCTGTGAGATCATGACCTGAGCCAAAGTTGGATGCTCAACCAACTGAGCCACCCAGGCGACCCTATGATATATATGTATTTTAAGCCATTATACCAGTTAAAATAGAAAACTGGTGTGTATGAAAAATCAATAAAGTTCTCTAAGGTTATGATTACTCTTCTTAAAGGTAAAAATGTGAGAAATCCATTTTATTAGTTACTGATTTAATAAGTTACGATAACATGGATCTCTGATGAGAACTGTTTTCTGTCTGTTTGTGCCACCCTCTTTTGTAGTCACAAACCAAAGGTTTACTTTTATATTCAAACTCCTTGTCACTTTAGCTTAAAAACATCTACTCACTGTCCAAACCAGAAAGAATTTTGAAGTTTTACCAACGTCATGTATGTAAATAACAAATGGTAGTATTCAACCATGATTTGGTAGATTAACATAAAACAAAATGATCAAATTTGCAATGTTTTGAGGATGCAGTTTTAGCAGGAGATAGTTTAAAAGCTTTTGGACAACATAAATATTTATCACATTCTGCTTTGGGTATATACATATGCACATGCACAGTTTGTAATGGATTGAAGTAACCTGATTATGCTCTTGAGCATTTAGCATTTGAAGAATCTAAATCTCGTTTTGATGTGTATTTTATAACTTGGGCAAAAGCTCCATGTGTACATATATCAGAAAGAAAATGTTACTGCAGTTTCATTCTCACATGTTATATCACTGGCACAGTAACACGTAAGAATGAACACGAAGTTGGTATCCACAAGGCTTTTACTGTAAGGAAAACGTGGCCTACTGCCCGTAATGAGAGCTCAGTGGTTCTCGCATCTCACTGGTGACAGTAAATCCTCGATATCTCTGAGAAGAATATACACATATCATCCAAGGCAAAGGCGGGTCTAGTAGGTGTGCCAGCCCTGAGTCATCTGACAGACGGGTTATTGTCTTTCTTACTTACACAACGTTCACAGCATATGCCAATTATTATGCCAAAAATAAAAACCGAGCAAGGAAAGCATTAGAACTGCAGATCCATTCCAAGTGCAAAATTCCAATTATCAAAGCCTAGACACAAGCGTTTTATTAAAAAATCCACTTTGATCTGTGCTATAATTGGCACACTTTCTGCTAAGTGACACTGGCAATATAGTGTTGCATTTCTATTTTATTTTTCTTTTGCTAACAGTAACAGAACATGATAGCAAGCTAAGTGCTCTGCTTGGTGGAGACAGAGTGCTGGAAGAGTGCTTTGGGCCTACCTCAGTCTAGGGTTCCTTGGCCATTTGGGGCTGTGGGCTCAGCCCTTGTTCCACAGTTTCTGAAGACCAGCTTCTTTCATTATCAGCTCATCAAAATGCATCTTTATGATTTTCCCAGCTGCCAACAGTCATATCTACCCTAAATTTCCCGTCAGGGGTGTTGGTAACATCAGATGGTGGTTTGTAAATGTAGTTTGGTTTTCTGAATTGATAACTGGTGACAATAAATAAAAGTGAGTTTGTGAAATTTCAACTTTTGTAGTGTAGTGAGTTACTCTTATAGAATATACTTAATTTTTCTTAATAACAGAATAGAAGCTATAAAACTCCCCCTATAAAACAACAACAAGAAAAAGCCTCTCAATACCAAAGTTAGGATACGAGAGCAAGGTATGATTCCCATTAACATCCAGGTAAGTACCTAAGAGCCTGACGTTTTCTTGGGCTAGGCTGGTTGTGTAGGGAAACTGGTTCCAATAGAACAGTAAGAACTGTGGCTTCCAGGGCATATTTCCAGAAACAGTACAGGTTCTTTCGCCTGAAGATCAAACTTCAATTAGTCCATGGCTATTAAATGTTTTCTTTCTAAATTTAGAGCTTTTATAGATACTTGTCTATACCTGATGATGGTGGGGATGAGAAACATGGGTAGGACACTGCAATCTATATCATGTTCCTGCAAAGGAACATTCTAAATATGCACTCTATTCTTTCTCCCAGCAATCCTATAAAGTCATTATTAATATCCTCATTTTCTAGAAGAGGAAACCCAGCTCCATGGAACCTGAATAACTTACTGGTGGTAGAGCCAGGTAATTTACCTAAACTAAATAGCCAGGGCTAGGATTTATGCTTGGTTTCAGGTGTCTCAAACTCCAAATCTGTGCTCATTCAATGAATCTCCATTTGATGGAATTTCTGACAGTAAGAACTAAGTAAATTACGATACTAAGATAACAATAGTAATAAATTCAGTAAGAAATTTGACAGTAAAAAGGGAGAAAAAACAGAGCAGAAAGTAGAGAAGGAAATTATATTGCGGGGGGGACGTTTTCTTAAATTGGGGGAGAAACTTGTACAAGGTATAAGCCTCAAGAGTCAGTTTCCCTAACCTGGTTAGGGTTAATGTGTATTATTGAGTGCCTTCAGTAGGCCAGACCCTGAGCTAAGTAGGTACTTGGGGATATGACGGTTGGTGCAAGAGACAGGCAGCCATCCATACCTTTGTGAGCTTCTAAACCAAGAGGAGAAACCAGACTGGAATAGGTGAGTACAGTAAATGCAGAAACTTTGTGAGAGTCTGTTGCAGGCTGACCATAGTGACGGTACATACAGAGGTGGCTGATCTGGAAAGATCCCTGAGGAAGCACAGAAGTGGGGACCATGCCAGGCAGATGGACAAGCATGAATGGTGACTCTGAAATGAGAATTTGAGGAACAGAACATTTCTGAGAGTTGTGAGCAGAGCAGAGAGAGTAAAGTGGGGACTGGCGCAAAGGAGACTCCTTAGGCAGGAAAGTCCTGATCAAGTTGACCCTGTGGTGGTTAAAAATGCTGAGCTCTATCATAATCATTGTGGAAAAGCACGGAAGGGATTTATGTGGAACAATGACAGTGTCCATTTGTATTATTCAGTTCAGAATGGGAACTGGATTAACAGAGACCAGGTGAGTGATCTCACAGGACCCCTATAGCAAAGGACAAGATGGAAAATACCGGTGGCTTGGAGGAAGGCAGCAACAGTGAAGATGGAGGGTGGATTGAAAAGACATTTGAAAGGTCAACTTTGCAGACATGGTGATGGACTAAATATGTAGAGAGAAGGGTGATTTAAGAGACAGCTCCCACATTTCAGCTATTTCATAGTTTCTTTCCCTCCTCATGTCTGAACCTTGCAAATACCAGCACATTCTCAACTTTTTTCACAATGACCCCAGTCGGGAGGGAAGGGAGGCTGGCCAATGGGAGACTTTCAGGGACAGGTGATGGTGCAAGCGTTTGAGTCAAAGGTGATTTGGAACTTCTTAAATAATTAACTACAACATCATTTTTTTTTTCTCCCTCGGAATAAAAATAGGAGAACTCACTGTGAAAGAACCCAAGTTTCTGGATTTTGAAGTCAGAAATGAAGTACAACTCATCATTTTAGCAGAAAGTAGGGGGCATAGGGCCTTCAGCAAAGTAGCAGTCTTGATACAAGATGTGAATGATAATTTACCGTGCTTTGAGCAGAGTGTGTACCAAGTATCAGTGCCTGAAGGCCAGTTCTACAATGCTCGCATCATACAGGTAACAGAAATGCATTTTGTGGATGTGTGAGTGTGTGGGGATTGTTACCAGTATACGTCAAAATATCTAAAGCTTTTTCTAGGACATAAATGAAATGTTTCCAGGGCATATAAAATGTGTGATGAACTGGATGACAGCTTAGGTTGAAGGAAGTCTGAAGTTTAGAGTTTCTGAGTTCACGTTTCTTCCTCTCTTCATCCCGTGCTCAGTTAGTACCCACCTGCTGTCCCTAGGGACTCTGTCCAGCACCAGCAGGGAGTATACAGGGGCACAAAAACAGCTCATCTTGCCATGTGTACAATTTAGTGGGGAAGTCAGAAAAGTAAGTATATAATTTAAAGGCACGTTATTAATGTTAAATAGAAGTGCCTATTTAATGTCATGAGAGCAAAGAGGAGACACAAACTCTTCCTGGAGAAACAGCATAAAGCTTCACAGAAGAATGATATTTACACTTGGTCTTCAAGGGTGAGCAGGTACTCACCAGGGGGAGCTGCAGCCAGAGGAACGTGGACCGGGGCACAGATGCATGGGAGAGCTCCCTGGGTTCAGAATTTGCGGACATTTTATGTGAAAGGCATAGATCTGCTGTTTCCAGCCTAATGCCATCTCAGAAAAAAGGGCCAGGCCGTGAAAAAGATCATCTGTTGTTAAGGTAGTCTTGTTCAGGCTCTAAAACCCACTCATCCTTGATAGTCTCTCTTCCTACTTTGGGACTAGTACCCAGTTTTACCTTTCCCATCACAGTTGAATTGCTGTTTTATACTCAAGAACTTGGACATTTGGAAATGCACAACCCCGTGGGAACCCGCACGGGAAATCAGTATAAAAACCCCTTCCTGGCAAAGTCAGCGGCATACCAGGGCCTTCCCTTTGGCCTTTGTAATCCCTCTACTGTGATCCGGCCCCTAATGATGATCACACTCCTTTCTCTCTAGGTGGATGGGGTCAGGAGGCTAGATGACAGGTTAGTACACTTGGTGGACAAGACCTCCCACAATGCTCTGCTGTGCAGCTACCCTCACCTGCATATGGAGAGATGCCTTTGTTTGACTTCCAGTTCAGTTCCAGATACACATGTGCCCCTCTGTTGGTGCAGACAAGACCAGTGCAGTCTGAGGAGTCTTGGAGTCTTAGCTCCATGCCCCAGGATTTCCTCTGCTCTTTTTGCAGATTTCTTTTGTGTGACAGCAGCCTGATGGCTGCAGTCGCCAGCCTGTCCCATAAGTGCTGGGTCTTTACTTCAGCTTCAGCCATGACTGAGATGTTGAAGAAGAAAGCAAGAGCATTCACTTTTCCAATCTGTATCACCCTGCGCAGTGATACCTGTCTAGTGGGGATGACAGATGCCTCCAGAGCCACTGTGTGGCCTGCTTTGTCACAGAGGGCCCTGCCCTGGGATGCTGATGCCTTGCACTTCTTTGTCATGCATCCTGACTTGGATAGAGCTAGACTGCTCAGTGTGGAATACAAGAAGGTGAAGACACTGTTAAAGCCCAGGTACAACAAGTGAGTGAGAGCCTGACCCACCAGTGCGTCAGATTAGGTCAAACTCCAAGGAGGCTGAGTCAGGGACAGATACAATGAACTTTGTTCTTCACATTTTAGGTCATTTGACTTTTTCAGGAAGCCAGACTGCCATCTCCCTGTGTTTCTGTTCAGAGAAATAAGAACGTAGAAGGCTCTGGAGTTACAGTACTTGTGGTAGTTCTTGCTTTTGCGTGCACACTGTCCAGACTTCCCGCTTTTGGTTATAGCCCCACAAACTTACCTTAGGAACTGCTCATACCCTGTCAGATGCAGTCTTGGTGAGATTGTCAGCCAAGGTAGTAGTGACTTGTCCCCTGTCCCTGTCCCCTGTCAAAGGTGTTGCCATCTGCCTCAGTCTCATACAGACTTTCTCTCCCTAGAATTTGAATCTTGAGTGGTAAGACACCATCACAGAGGCACAGGAGAGCTGACTTATCTTGGTGGAAACAGTTCAAAGCTGTGCCCCCAGAGTGGCCCAGGTTCTTGGCCTTCACCCGGACACTATCTTCCTTTTTCTTTTTTAATGGACTTTTTAAATTTTTTATTTCTATTTGAAAGAGAGAGAGAGAGCACATGATTGGTGGAGGGGAGCAGATAGAATCTTAAGCAGGCTCCATGCTTAGCGTGGAGCCTGACATCGGGCTCAATCCCATGACCCTGGGGTCATGACTTGAGCCAAAATCAAGAGTTGGATGCTTAAGTGACTGAGCCACCCAGGTGCCCCGGATACTATCTTTTTTTTTTTTTTTTAATGTTTATTTATTTTAGAGACAGAGGACAAGTGGGGGAAGGGCAGAGAGAGAGGGAGACACAGAATGTGAAGCAGGCTCCAGGCTCTGAGCTGTCAGCCCAGAGTCCGACACGGGGCTTGAACCCACGAACCGTGAGATCATGTCCTGAGCCAAAGTCGGACACTTAACCGACTGAGCCACCCAGGCACCTCAGAACGCCGTCTTTCGGATCCATTTCTCCTGGCTAAGTTAGCCCTGGCAGATATGTACTGCTGGCATCCTAAAACCCTAACTGATACACCTCCTGGGAGACCTACTCTCTGTAACACTTCAAGCACTCAGGGGACACGATGGGTTTCATTCTACCCAGATGCATAGGAGTTTCTTTTCCTGGTGATCTCGAAGGAACTGTGTATTGCTGCCTTTCCTTACTGAGTAGCTAACTTGGGTGCCCTCCTGATGAGGTCCTCGATGTCCCACTTGGGCCACTCAGGATCCCCTGAGATCTGGCAACAGTGTGAAGGATAGATTGAGAGGGGAAGGAGCTAGAAGCAAACGCCCATCAGGACAGCAGTCACCCAGGAGAGAGATGATGGGGATGTGAGGTGCAGTCAGGCCAAAGCCGAGGGACACAGAGGATAAAAATAAGTAGAAAAAAATGTTAATTAATCGGTAAATTTATTCTCAAACAAGATCTCGAATTCACTAATAGAATTCGTTTTGTGATTAAAATGTAATGCAGACTAAATAATATATCTCCATGGAGAATGATGCAAAACTTCTGTTTCATCCTCAATGTTACTTTGATAATTTCCTGAATAAATGATCAGGATCTAAATTTGCTAGCATGAAATCTAGGCTGTTTCATTAATTAAAAGTCCTTCTAAAATGCGACTTTCAATAAAATATGAAAAAATCAGGGGCGCCTGGGTGGCGCAGTCGGTTAAGCGTCCGACTTCAGCCAGGTCACGATCTCGCGGTCCGGGAGTTCGAGCCCCGCGTCAGGCTCTGGGCTGATGGCTCGGAGCCTGGAGCCTGTTTCCGATTCTGTGTCTCCCTCTCTCTCTGCCCCTCCCCCGTTCATGCTCTGTCTCTCTCTGTCCCAAAAATAAATAAATGTTGAAAAAAAAATTAAAAAAAAAAAAAGAAAGAAAAAGAAAATATGAAAAAATCCACATCTGGCCTATTTTACAGGCAATACTTTAAGCAGGAAAAACAGCAAATGAACGACTACCATTCACTATGCAGAGATTTCTTCCATTTTCTGGTACTGGCATGAATCTAAATATAGTACTGGAAACCCTCTATTCAACCAAATTAGATTTCTTTTCAAGTACAGTACCTTGTTTTATCATACTTTATTGTACTTCACAGGTACTGTAATTTTTTTTTTTTAACCAACTGAAGGTTTATGGCAGCCTGCATCAAGCAAGTCTATTGGCACCATTTTTCCATCATGTTATGTCACAGTTTGGTAATTCCTGCAGTATTCACACTTTTTCGTTATTACTATATCTGCTATGGTGATAGCGATCAGTGGTTTCTTGAGATGGAATCCCTACCTGGTGAACGTGCTGTGAAGACTGCTGTAATGACAACAAAGGATTTAGAATATTCCAGAAACTGAGTTGAAAAAGCAGGGGCAAGGTTTGGGATGACTGGCTCCCATTTTGAAAGAAGTTCTCCCGTGGGTAAAATGCTATCAAACAGCATCACACGCTACAGAGAAATCATTCACGAAAGGAAGAGTGCATGGATGTGGCAAACTTCATTGTCGTCTTATTTTAAGAAATTGCCACAGCCACCCCAGCCTTTGCCAACCAGCACCCTGGTCAGTCGGCAGCCATCAACACAGAGGCAAGACTCACTGAAAGTTCAGATGATGGTTAGCATTTTTTAGCAACAAAGTATTTTTAAATGAAGATATGCACATTGTTTCTTTAGATACAATGCTATGGCACACTTAATAGACTACAGTAGAGTATAAACATAACTTTTATATGCACTGGCAACAAAAAATTCATTTTCCTTGCTTCATTACAATATTTGTTTTATTTTGGTGGTCTGGAACTGAACCCACAATAACTCTGAGGTATCCCTGTATTTTTTCCTCTTGCCTAAAATTATAGTTCAAAACATGTGCTACTCCCACTGAAAGTTATTTGGAAATCCTTTGAATGAGCATGCAGAATAGTTTTCTCACACATTTCCTACTGTATTATAAATGTAAGCTTCAGCCATTTGTTGCTAGTCCTTTGATCATTGTTTTTAGAGCGTGTTTGACAATTCATAATTATTTCACAGTGTATTTGTCTGAAAAACAGCCTAAACCCATATTGCAGATTACACTCTTATCTAATGGAAGAGTTGCTTCCTCACAGGTTTTTGCTACCGACCTGGACAGTGGATTGAATGGCCTCATTGAGTACTCTATTCTCTCTGGGAACCAAGGGGATGCCTTCCACATGGACGTGCTGAGTGGTGTAGTGACAGCAAATGCGATTCTAGATTATGAGTTCACCAATTCC